AAGGATGTTTCTCTCTCTCCTTCCCCCTCTTTCTAAAAGCAATGAAAAAATGTCCTCGGGTGAGGATAAAAAAGGAAAAAAAAGGAATTATGCCCAATCTACTCTGCCTGTGTTCTATAAATAGAAAAACTAAGTCTGGATGACAGCACATCTGTTTATAACATAGTTTATTGAATATTTTAAGCCCACCATTGAGACCAACTGCTCAGAAATAAACATTCATTTCAAAACATTACGGCTCACTGACAGTGCACATGGTCACCCGAGGGCTCTGAGGGAGATGCGCACTGAGATGAATGTTGTTTTCGTGCCTGCTAACACGGCATCCATCCTCCAGCCCAGGGATCAAGAAGTAACTTCCACTTTTAAGTCTTATTACTTAAGAAATACATTTAGGCTGTAGCTGCCACAGAGAGTGATTCCTTTGATGGACCTGGGAAAAGTAAATCGAAAACCTTCTGGAAAGGATTTGCCATCTAGATACTATTAAGAACATTTGTGATTCATGAGAAGAGATCAAAATATCAACATTAACAGGAATGTGGAAAAAGTTGATTCCAACCCCCAGGGAGGACTTTGAGGGGTTCAAAACTTCAGTGGAAAAAGTTAACTGCAGATGTGGTACAAATAACAGGAGAACTAGACCGAACTGCTGCAATCTCATGACGACAACTGTACAGATGAAGAGAAGTTTCTTATGGTTGAGCGAAGAAGTGGTTTCCTGAGATGGGATCTACGCCTAGTGAAGGTGCTGTGAAAACTGTTGGAACGACAACAAAGGATTTAGACTAAAGCGGCAGCGGGGTTTGAGAAGACTGACTCCAGTTTTGAAAGGCGTTCTGTTGAGCGTAAAATGCTGCCAAACAGCATCGCGTGCTACAGAGAAATCATTCGTGAAACGAAGCGTCAACGCATGTGGCAGACTTCACTGTTGTCCAGTTTCAAGAAATTGCCACCGCCACCCCGCCTGCAGCAACCACCACTGCAATGAGTCAGCCGCCACTGGCATCGAGGCAAGACCCTGCCCCAGCTAAAAAATTCATGTGACTCTCTCTATTGCAATATTCACTCTATTTCAGTGGTCTAGAACTGAACCCCCACCATCTCTGCGGTCAGCCTGAACAGAGATCTCCTTTTTAATGTTTGTATTGGACAAAGGAAAAGTACACAAATGTAAAAGCTGTCCATTCTACATCAAGAGACGTAAATCCTACTGGAACCTGGTCAAGCACACAGCCTTCACAGAGTGCAAAAAGGTCTTGATCACACATTTCCTATTTTCAAAATAATATCATTCCAAAAATGCACATCTGCCTTCCGTCACCTTGAGAAACACATGCACACTTCCTTCACATTCGAATAAAAAGAGCATTACTATCCCAGGCAACCGTAAGTCCTCCTCCCCCCAGGGGACCGACCATGGCAGGTCCCTGGTGAAACTAGAGCGCCGTTCACTGAGAGACGTTAGAAGATTAAGCAGCTTTGTTTGAAAAGCCGGTGCTTTTCTGTGTCATGACTAACCCCACAAGCCGTTCAGCCACTTCAGCTTGAGATTTTAGAATCCCTTCATCAGAAAACCCCGCTCTGTCGGGGTGCTGTGCCGAGGAGGATGGTGGCGCCCGCCTGTCTTCTCCAAGGTGCCGTGCGTTATGACCCCTCAACAAACTGTTTTCCTTGCCTTGTTGGAGCAATGGCCCCTTCTCGTTCGGAAAACGTAAACGCTGCCTGCGACGCCCACAGCAAGTGCCCTCCAAAAAGCAAGGCTGGGAAGTACCACTTGCTGGGCACACCCCCTCAGCAGGGGCTGTGCCCGTCGCTGCCACTGATAGACGGCCCTGCGGGGTCTCCAGCAACCTACGCTGCCCTGTGTCACCTGTGAGGAAACAGACGCCCAAATAGGTTAAATCACGGGCCCACGGGCCCACGGCTACTAAGTAGAAAAGGCAGAATTAAAACCTAGGCCCATGCAGCCCCGGCCGGGAGGCTCAGCTGTTTGGAGCATCATCCCATACACCAAAAGGTCACGGGATTGATTTCCGCTCAGGGCACGTACCCAGGTTGCGGGTTCGATCCCCAGTCGGGACATGTATGGGAGCCAGCCCATTGATGTTTCCTCTCATACGTCAATGTTTCTCTCTCTCTCTCTCTCAAATCAATAAACATATCCTCCTGTGAGGGTTAAAAAGAAATCGAGGCCCACTCAACTCCCAAAACCTGTCATTTACCACCTCCTGGGCCTACTTGGGAGATATGGGATGAGAAACAGCAACCTTCATCCTATTACTTGCACATTTCTTAAAAGACAGACAAAAAATTATCCGAATCTCAGATTGTTCCTGAAGGAGTTACCGGGAAGGAGTTCGGTGAAGAGTCAACAGGCAGATGATTCCTCTGTGACAGCAGAGAGCAAGCTCTGCCCCAGGACAGCGCGGGGTGGCCTTGGCAGGGGGTGAACTCGCCAGCTCCCGGAGTGTTTGCGCGGCGACCTCTAGGGGGCGCGCTAAGCGCGCGGTTGCCTTCCCCGCGCCTGGTCTGGTTGCTCAGGCCTTCAGCAGAGAAAACCTCCACTTGTCAGAGCTGCTGGCGTTAGAAATCATTACTAACTCATCTTTCCCAATTTCTCAGCTCTCTCACTGGAAGACGTGGCCTGGGAAAGGTGTCAGAGAAAGGACTAAAATTGAAGCTGAAAAAGAACCATGGAAAAATAAGGGAAAACCACCCTCTCTTTTGGTTATTCTCTGTCGAAGGTCTTTGCTTTTCCTAAAATGACTGTTTGAGGCCACAGAAGTGGAAAAGGCCTTAAAAGTACATCAAATTAACTTTCAGGGTTTTTTTTGTGTGTGTGTGTGTGTGTGTGTTTTTTTTTTTTTTTTTTTTTGGCTTTTAAAAAAGCACTGTTCTTCATAAAGTACCCATGAAACTGAACGCTTAGTGGACACTAAATAAGACAGAGATAAACGCTAAATTGTGGGGAAATTACCAGTCATGTTAGGACACATGGAGCTTGCCTCTTGGGTGCTCTGGTGAGAATAAAATGGGGTGCTCCCTGCCTCCCTCCCGTTATGAACCTTCTCGGAGACCTGTATCCTATAATAACCTGAGTCCCTCTTTCTCTCACACACGGCCCCCTCAAAAACCTCCAGGGCCTGGGGCAGAGACCCGAGGGATTCTGGGCCAGGAAGCAGGAGGAGGGGTAAAGAGCTAGAGTTCGGTGTTTTCTACATGATTCAAATGCCCCGGAGAGCCAGGCTGTGGCCAAAGGAGGAAGGTGAAATGGCAGTCACCAGGCACATGCTCCACCAGGACATTTGGAAAAATCAGGGGCCTTTGGAAGGCGCGCACCCTGGCCGTGGTGGTAGGACTTCAGGGTAAGGAAGACCGGGTGAGTCTGCAAAGCTTCTCTGGTCCTTGGATACACCCTGCTCAGCGCAAGAAAGTGAAACTTGGGAGGAACAGGGGGTGAGGCAGCGTGTGCACACCCCCACCCCCGCTTCACCGGGCTAAACCCCTGGAACATGGGCTCCCCCAATATGCAGGCAGGTGAGAGCCGGGCCTGGGCCACCCTCGCAGCTCGACCATTGACACACACGTGGCCCAGGAAATGCTCACCTGGCCCATCGGTCATAAAGCTGTTGGCTAAAATTTAAAATAACATTCAACCAGGAGACCAACGGGAATGTCATAGTTAAAATATAGGGTATGGTGGAATAAAGGCAATACGATAAATACATCTGCAAAGCCAGTTGCGGAGTTATATGCAATGCTTGAAAAATATTCTTATTAAAAAAGACATGCTGAGGTGACCACTATAAAAACAGTAACTCAGATTGTTAGTTTTTTTTTTTTTTTTTTTGAAGTGTAAGACATTTTTAGAGAGTTTCAAAAGCATAACTACTCTAATCCACTGCTGGTTAAAATGGAAAATCCTCAAAGCAATGAGGTAATATTGAAAGCCCTAAAAATATTTATGGCAGAAACTACAGTTCCACAAAGTTATCTTAGTATCACGATTGTGGATGTGCATAAATGGGGGGCAAAAATGTTCATTATAAACCTGATGGCAGTTTCAAAGCTCTGAAACGCTCGGAAAAAAAGGCTTGGTTAAATAAACTGTAATACATCCAAATAATGAAGAACTCCTCAGCAATAAAAAGCAGTACATGTTGAGTGATGTGGAAACATTCTCCAAGACAGTTCCCATGAAAGACAAGTTTTCCCAAATAACACATAAAGCATGATATCAACGTGTATAAACATTAGTATTTGTATATTCCAGGAAACAGTATTTGCAATTATAAAATAATGCCTGGTGCTTTAGAATCACCAAAGCCCCAATCTCATTTTTTGTCATGTGATAGAGCTGAAAATGGAAACCCAACTTCACATCTACAGAACTTGAGCTTAATCAGCCCAAAGTCACGCAGAAACATGGTGGTAGTAAAGGGAAGAATAAAACAGATTTCTACTCAGGGCAAGCTGTGTTCTGATTTGCAAACTGAAAAAAAGAAAATCTCGCAGACATCTTAGCCTTCGTAGCAAGACAAAACTTTCAGGAAAATATCTATTGCATACATCTCATCGAGGCTGAACTTCAGGAGACCCTCAACTCGATTTTGATATGCAAGCGGTATGCGCACGTGATCCAATGTCTAACCCAGGGATCTGATCCACCATCCACTTCACTCAAAACAGAACCTTAAGCATCTCGGGAAGCAGACGGACTGAATACAAGCCTCCAGGCTAACTGCTCTTGGTTACACTTAATCAGAGCTGAATAAACAAACTCAGTATTAGTCACACTTGTGCAAGTTATTCCATTTCACTGCAGCCAGGAGAGATTTTCATGTGATCCTGTTTAAACCAGCGAAACATCTGGAAGATGTGAAAATGATTCTGTAAGGCGCAAGCGGACCACACGCTCGGAGCGGCTGTCAGTTACGCGGCCGAGGTCAGCCCCGCGCTGCTGGGAGGACAGAGGTCGCCGGGCGCGGTTTACTTACAATGAAGCCAAGTTTCTTATAATCCCGGGTGTACATGGACTTGCGCTTCTCCATGCTGCCGCTGCTGGCGTTTGGTTCAGACTCCGCATCAAAGGCAATTCTACGAAGTTCAAATATGATGTCCCTCTGGGCCTGCAGGCGTTGGGGAGAAAAGAAGAGAGGAGAGCGGCTTTCATTGTGCAGCATTACACACACTCCGTCTCCCCGGGGGGACATGAATCACTGCACTCTGGAGAGAAAAAGAAACAGCCAGACGATGTCCAATGTGGTGAGTGTGGGCTCTGCCACTCGTTCTCCTGGTCAGCCCTGGCTTTTCTGCACAATTATCCTCAGAGCCAATCATGTGGAATACTTACGTCAGTTGTCTGAAGTTCTTAGGGAAGGCCCACATATGATGACAGGCTTGGGGCTGGAGAAAGCCAAGTTCAAGAACCTGGGCTACTCACTGTTATAAACACCGTGAGAGGCACAAAAGGTTTAAGAACAGTATTCAGATGATGAGGGAGCCCTGACTCCACTAAGAACTGCCTTGGCGGAAACAAACCCTTACGAATGGTTAAAATGGTAGATTTTATGTATATTTTACCATAATAAAAGAGACACTTTAATTAAATACAAAGGAGGGTTTCCAAACAGGGAGGGCTGTTCCCGCTAGGATGCGCCGCCTTCCTTCACTACAAGTCGTGAGATGACAGCCTCGTTCTCTGGGATGGTTGCCCTGGGCCTCGCCAGAGTCCGGGGCGCGGGAGGGGCTCTCTCCAAGCCTCTCCATCACTCTCTGTCGCATGGCCTCGCGCCATGAAGGAAGCGCCACAGCGGTTACACACTGCACATGTGTGTGCACATCTGCGATCCATCAGGCCCTCACGTGCCAATAAGGAGGGTCTTCCTTTCCAAAGCTGCAGCACTATTTAAGCTGAAAATGTGCAACAGCAGGCCGCCCAGCTGTTTCTTCTCACTCTGTCCCCTCACACTCAAGTTCCCCAAGGCCTTTTGGATGGAGACAGAAACTTTTGGGCCCAACAAGCAAACACCCAGGGAGAATGGGTCTTTCCAAATAGCCAACCAACACCAAGGCAAGCCCAGAAATCAAGTACGACCTGGGGCCCCCTCCTTTGGACGGATCCCTGGAGAATGGAAATCACTTCCTCAACCTGCAGAATCATATCACACAGAGCTACCAATTGGCCCCAGTTATCTGGGAACTTGACCAAAGCTATTACCATTGAGGGTATTGAGCCAAGGGCCAAGGTTAATGGCCGTGGAATGTCAAGCTTTCTTATCCAATACAGAAAGAATGCACATGTGTCTGATGTGTAATGAAATAATCCACTCATCTTATTTCCTGATCCCAGATTCACCTAAATTTTAAATCTGAGATGATAATAAAGTAGTACTATCATCATCTGACATGACCTGGCTTCAGAGTAGCCCAAGAAAAGACGTTTATGATGACACACTGTCAGCTTCCTGTGCCTTCACTGCTGTCTCCTGAGCACCCACCTGGTCCTGGGGGTCCATCTTGGTCATCATCCTGTCTTCCAGGAGGTTAAAGATGAGCACCTGGAGCACGTACAGCTGATGTGCCATCTCGTTGTTGATGGCCCGCTGAGCTCGGATGACGTGCTGGGGAGATGGTTCACAAATGAAAATTCAGTAAAAAAAAGAAAAAAGGAAAAGCAAACAAAAGTCAACTCCCATCATTACACGCCGTAGAATCTCCGAAGTCCTCACTGGGAGGCCTGGGGAGGCGGGCTAGCAGGGCTGTGCTTCAGGCGAAGGGCAAGGAAGCCTGGGGGCCCTGGAGCTCCGATCTGTCCCAGGACCCAATTAGGTTCCTAGATGTTTAGGCCAGACACCAGGAAAAACCCTATTCTGTGCAGGGGGGAGTTTCAAAGGGGGCCGCAGGAAGCGCCCTCGTGACGTCGGCCCTAAGAACCCAGAGCAGGCGAGCCAGGGGCGAGAGAATCTTTGTGAGAACGGTGGCCTGCCGCGGCAGAAGCATCCCGTGCACACAGCACAAGACGTACGCACGTGCCGGTGAGCGTGTTTGCCACCCTCTCACTCAACAGCTGTCTCGGCAGGTGACTCCAATTCTAAATGGGGACAAGTTTCAGAAGCAACACACACAAGCAAAGCACCTCTCAGGCCTGTGGTTCTTTCACTGTGGAAACTATTGGGAGACCACCCGCTGCCCCCATGATGTGGTGAGTGGATTCATGGGCGTTACATCAGTCACCTATTAATAACTAAATGAAAAGTAAAGGGAATACATATAAAAGGAATGGCAGGAGACTAGATAGGTGGGCATTTGTCCCCCTCCACCGAGCTGGGTCTATCCTACATCCTTTCCGGCAGAGACAACGCTTGTACCCTCAGCATGACTGGTCAACGTGTGGAAACAACCGTTCACGTCAGTTATTTTGAATAGACTTGACCCAACATGTCCTGCTGTCTGACAGAACCTTCTCTAGATGTGTCCAACCTGGCATACACTTGAACTCCACACCCTGGCTGTGAGCACAATGTTGAAACAGCCAATTAAAGGGGGTGGAGAGAGAAGCATGAGGGCTAGAAGGAAGTCACAGAACCTAAACAATGGAGGCCGAGGGGGTGGGAAGCTCGGCAGTGGGATGGGAGGGTGGAGCAAAACTCATATCCTTCAACTTCCAGCACAGAATGTTAATGCATCGCATAGACTCCGTATCCATCGTTCACGGGCATGGACATTTAAGTCTAATCCATTTTGAGTTTCTTTCGTATATGGTGTCAGAAGGTGGCCTCACCTTCCCATTTGCAACAGCGTGGATGGACCTAGAGTGTGTTGTGCGGAGTGAAGTCAGTCAGAGAAAGGCAAATACTACGTGATTTCACTTACATGTGGAATCTAAAAAGCAAAATAAACTAACAAAACAGAAACACAGGTACAGAGAACAGACTGACAGTTGCTAGAAAGGAGGGGGATTGGGAAGCTGGGTGAAAAAGGTGAAGGGAGAAAGAAGTACAGACTGGTAGTTACAAAATAGCCACAGCGATGCAATGTACAGCATACGGAATGTCGTCCATAGTACTGTAATGACTATGTGCGGCGCCAGGTCGGTATGGAAATATCAAAGGATCACTTTGTCAAGCACATGATTGGGCAACCACTATGCTGCACACCTGAAACCAATAAAAATAATACTGAACGTGACCTGTAATTGGAAAAAAATACAAAGCGTATGGGGTGCTAACGTATATGGATATCTATTTCAGTAGCAACTCAAAAGCATCGGCATTCCAAGTTCCTGCCAGAGAACGCCTTCCTTTCGGCCTCCAAGCCTCACAGAAGAAGTCCCACTGAGGCAAATGGATCCTTGGGACAGGGAGGCTGGAGTGACTGCCCGGCCTGTCGCCGGGCGTTCTACCTTGGGGGCCACACCCCAGGCTGATGTCAACACGCTGCGGTCTGCATCCCACATTTCTAGTCTTTCCTCTCCCCCTCAGCGCCCGCTGCAAAAACCCCTGCCCCAAGCTATGCCTCAGTATTACAGCTCCCACTTGTACTAAGAACCAGTATAAAAAGTAACCATATTAGGAAAACTTCTGCAAGTTCTACTAAACCTTTCTTGGACCTAGGATCTTCTCCAATGCTCTACCAAAACCCAGTTTGGATTCCAGGGGGGAAAATATGTCATTCCCCAAGAACTGGGGTACCTCTTTTGTCAAACAAAGAAAATTACACTCATATGGTTTCTCTTTATCCTAGACAGCCAGAAAGTTTAAAATCAAAGCTGATGACAAATTGTGGTTATTACTATGGGCTTTGGGTCCTAGAATATTTATTTTGTTTGCCCGCATACGGTTTTTAATTTTTAATGGCCTCACTCTATTGGAATGCATACACGCGCACGCGCGCTTGCAAAAACTCCAACTTGGAACCAATCACACATGCTTCTTTCAGCCTTTAGTTGAAAGTCAAGTAGCAGATAAGGTCCCAGGAATTCTTGTTACTTCATTTATTTTCAAACGTTCGCAACCTCCTTCCCACCGAGGTTTCTGCTCACATGTGCACTGCAGGGGTGAGTGGTTCCTGTGTTTGCCTTTTCTGTCTTTCTCTTGTAAAGGGGCCCGGGAAGGGATGCAAAGACGTCAGGACTTCTCCCAGCGTCTGACGTGTCGCCAGCTAGCTCCCTCATTAAAAACAGCGTAAGCTCAAACTAGACGTTTTGAGTCACAGAGCCCCTGATTTCCTTAAATGTAACTTTTCACAAAGCTAAAGCCGCAGTGAGGAGACTAAACCTGCCCCACCGAGAGATTCCCAACCCTTCCGCCCAGAATGCCTCTCTCTCTAGAGCAGTGAGTGACAGGGACCCCTTCCTCCACGCAGAGGAGGCCATTCCTGGGGGAAAGCCTGGCTCATTCCACTTCCAAAAGCACACTGTTTCCTGCTTTCTAGTTCCTCCTGCTTCACCCCAGAGGCAAGGCCCAGAACAAACCACAAACTGAAGCCCAAAGAGCAGAGAAATAAACAAATGCACCAGACCACTCCTCCCCAACCAAGCAGACACAGCACGTGAGTACTCACCGTAAGGATGATGGATCGCAGCTGCTTCTGAGCCAAAATATTTGCCATCTCCTGTTGAAGGAAAACACCCCCCGAACCCACAAAATGATTAGAAGTTAGAAAGGTCCATTTCAACGCCATCCAAAATGATTTGATCCTGAGGTGCACTTCAAAACTGGATATCAGCAGTATTTCTTATGGAAGAATGGACTCAAAAAGGCAGTGGTATGGAAATTACTTGTTGAATGTTCTGTTTATAAAACAAAGCCATGTTCAAAAGCAAAAAAAAAAATCTGGCAACTGCAATCAATCTATCTTCCTTCCTTCCTACCTCCCTCCCTTCCTTCCTACTTCCCTCCCTTCCTTCTTTTGACATTTCTTCCTTCCAGGAAAAGATGAATGCTGACTAAAAGTCAAGCACTGCAGATGAATGCGCTGGTCCTTGCTTCTGTTGGACGACATATGTCCAGAGAGCTTTGTCTAGACAACCCATGCCTGCCCTATGAGCATCGGTAGCAGAGAAACATCACTCTCAAGACCTAAGTCTTTTAAATGTCATCTCAATCTGTGCAAAACCAAAGAGCAATCAGTCCATAGCCCAGGACTTGAAAGTGGCCTATGCAAATGAACTGAGTGGCTGGAGTTCTGGCCATGGACAAACACCTGGGCCGACGCTCAGCTCCAGAGTCAGCCCTCACTTCTGCAAGGCATGCTCGGTGCTGAGGCACAGAGATTTGGGGGTGACTTTATTACATGAAATGATTCACAGGTGACCTTTCTAAATATTGACAAATATTTAGTCACCAAGGGAAAATTAAATGGCTGAATACCATCTTGTTGCAAACATGCAAAAATAAAAAATACTGCTCATATTCAGGAAGACACTGGAATGTGGTTTTGGAGGGGGGGGTGTTGCATTTTTAATGTTGCTACTCTTACTGAGCAGAGAAGTAACTAAACTACGATTCAAAGGCACAACCACAAATTTGATCGAGGTTAAAATCAACTGGCAGGAAGCAAGGAGGACCCGGAACACAGCGGGGAGGTGCCAGGGCAGGTGCGCAGGCAGGGCAGGCAGCGCCAGGAGGAAAGCTTGGGGCTGGCTTAGTGCCGACGAAGGGAACGTGGGGACTTACAGTCAGAGGACAATCAAGGATGTCAACACTGCTGTCTACACCAACCTAACAGCGTCACCGCCACCACAGAAAGGAATGCAAGCAGGAGAGAAGAGGGATGGAAATTCAGAGGATCTGTTAGAGGTGACAGCTGAACGTAGCACCCCGGCCAGCCCACTGCGCGGAGGAGAAGGGTGCACAGACACTGCAAGGTGTTCTGGAAACGCTGGATGGCACAGAAGTCAAAAACCTAATCCTGCGTCCTTTTCCAACGTCTTAAAAGCAAGGACACATTCGGAAACCAGTTAATAGCAAAATCCACAGGAACCTGCCCTTCCACGTGCATAGAAAATAGTGATTTCTTCCCAATCAAAATAAAAAGGGCCATTATTCTTTTTTCTTAGACCAGACGAAAAATAAAAGACCCAAAGCGTTCTATAGTTCTTTTAATTTCTCTTCTTTATAAAAATAAAATCGTTGCCACATAAACAAGCAAATAAACAACAATATTCTCTGGGTCTATTCTAGCTTATTGATTTGTAAAATTTTAAACTAAGTTAGAAGAGACAGTATTTTTCCAACATCTGGAGCAACTGCAGTACCTATCTGTTTACATTATCTATCTGCTGCTTAAGACAATGGTCACCTCAAGGATACAGACAGTGTCCTTCTCGTCTTATATTCCAAGCCCAGAGCTCCGTGTTTGGCAAAGAGTAGACAATAAATGTTTAATAAAAGAATGAATAAGTGCTTTCTACTACCCTCCTCTAGAAACATGAGTTTGGTCAAGGAGGAAAAAAAATCCTTGTCCTCGGCATGCATTTCCTGGGCCAGTATTAGGGAACTGTTTGAACAAACAATTCCACAGAGAATATTTTATACTGTCAGGATGATATCAAGGTATAGGAAAATATAAATATGGATATAGATATATCTTTATTTTAAATATAAATGACTTATTTAAAAACTAACTTTATTTAAGTAAAAATTGTCTCCACTGACAAATTTAAAACAAACAACTTGCAGAAATTATATTCAAGCCAAAAAAAGCTTCTCTATTCTGCAAAACATTTTTATGGCTATAAAGACCACAGGATTTAATATCTGGTCAATAAAAGATAAGAATTATGGAACTTCAGAGTAGTACATATTGACTTTCTTAAAAAAGCTTGTGTTCAAATTTCTGTCAAACTAAAGTGGATTCAAATCTGGATAGAGATATTGACAGGGAGAGATGTCCACACAACCTTGTTTCGTGTCTAAAGCAGTTTACATAAGCAAACCAGTGCGCGCAGTGTGAGCAGGTCTGGTAAAGACAAGGTGCGTGTGGGGGCGCCTGCTCGGGGCACAAAGCAGGCAGCGGTGCCGCGGGCGGCACGGGGTTGGGAGCAGGGCCAGCGGGTCTCCCGCTGGGGGTGTGATCTTCGGGGTCTTGAAAACTTCTCCCTTTGGAATCTGTATTTTCTGACCTTTCTACCAAATCTTTGGACCAAAGAGTTTTTTTTTTTTCTTAAATATGCTGATCAGAACCATAAATATTGGTAGAGAAATTTGGAAGGGATTTTGCCAACACGTGTGGCAAAATCCCATTATTATTATTATTTTTTTTTGCCATGAAAATAGTAAGATGCATAGTGGCAAGTAGCTTAAGCAAAAGCATCTTTACTGTTATTTTTATTGCAAAGACTAAATGACTCATATAACACTCAAAATTTTCTGATGGATTATATGCACTCTCTCTTAGTTGAACTGTTTTCTTAAGTGGTTTAGTGTTATTAGACTGCCTATTGTGATTTATTATTATTATTAATTATTATTGCAATATATGGCCAGGTGTGTCAGCTCAGTCCCATATGGCCCAATTTTCCAAATAAAAATTTGATTCACAAAATCGAAAGCTAGTGGTATATTGGTATTCCATTATCTTTTCACTGGAGTCAGTATAGACTGGTATCTGATTTCCTGCTTTTTCCACGGTCACGTGACTCCAGTCCAGCCAATAACCAGCAGTTCCGATGTAACAGGAAGATACAAAGCACAGGCGTCTTCCTCGTGTCTCCATCCAGAGACCCAAGCGGGGTCACCGCACGTGGGGCGGGCCCGAGCTCAGGGCCTCTGGCCCAGCATCCTCTCCCACAGGGGCCGGGGCGGCCCTGAGGTCAGGCCAGCGCACAGCCTCTGCAGCCTGCGTCCTCCGGGCGTCCACACACTGGCGGTCCAGCCGGGCTCCCTTGGTCTGGCCTGCAGGAGGCTCACGCTTCTCCGAATGACCAAGCTCGGCCCGAGTATGTATAAGCTGCCTGGTCACTGGCTGGGCTGCTAGGAATTATCGTGAGCTCAGCCTTTAGATAGAAATACAAAGCAGCAGCCCCCCATTTAATGGGGGGGCCCTGCAGCGCCCCCCCATTAAAATCCAGCCCGGTGTGCAGGCAGGGCCCTCCAGGCTCCGCCGACACCGGGCCACACAGACGGGAAACTCCGACGTCGCTCCCCTCCTTGGGCAAAGACTGCCCCCGGAATGAGCAAACCAGGCACCCTCATATTTAATCGCTGAGGTTTAAAAACCTGGACAGTGAAAAAAATAAAATTAAAAAGATAAAATACTTGACACAGTGTGCAGTTGATGCCAGCTCCCTAAATTCTGCCAAAACACCACATTGGTGACTCTCCTGGAGTGTCCCAGCACACCTTCTGAGCATTGAAAAATTGCATATTTCCACCCAGTTTTTACATGAAGTGGACGGTGACCAACGTAACACAGTACGTTACACTGACGTGAAAAAACATGAATAGATTTTGAGATATGAACCAAATTTCAAGACAAAAAATTCCACTTCTTCCACACCCTCCCCTATAATGAGTCTTTCCCTGGCTGAAGAAAAACCAAAGATCGACAGACGAAGGAGAGCCTCAAAGCGTGGGTCTCGCAGGGGCAGAGAGGAGGGGACGGGCCGCCCGGGCCTCCCAGCCACGCCCGCACACAGGCAGCAGACGCATCACGGGGCACAGAGCCCCTCGGCCACGCGACCCGTTACCGCGATGGGGGGCAGCAATCTGCGTGGTCCGTCCCGGGCCAAGCTGACACCCCCAGGGTCTCAGTTTCCTCATCAGAAAAGTGGGACAACGCCTTCCTTGCCCCAGGAAGCATTCAGCGAGATGACAAGGCCACAGGGTCACAGGGACTTCTGCCTCTGCTTTCTCCAGAGCCTGCAGAGCGGCCACTGTTTCCAGTCTGGGGGCTCCCGCATTGGTGTCATGTGATGAAAGGGCTCTCCTGCTGGAACATTCTAGCCCCCTTCCTCACGCAAAGGCTTGCCCACCTCCACCCGCTTCCCACCGGATGTGTGAATGGTCCCAGGCCAGCCAGCCAAGCGGCAGAGCGGCAGGGAGGCCCAGCCAGTCCCCGGGAGGGGCAGGAGAGGAGGCTCTGCACCAGACGCCGCCATTCCTGGGCACGGTCTTATGACAAAAAGCATGCAGCTTACCTGCCTCCTCTCATCCGGGGCCTTCAGGAAAAGCGCATTGATCACGGCGATGGTGTAGGTTTGGATTTCTTGATCTGTCCTGTATGGACGCAGAATGATACAGAAAGTCAGAAGACGCTCTCCCTGAGTCAGACTGGGATAAAGGTCATGATCGCCGCCCCCAAAAATGGTGAGAGAGAAAGGCAGGACCTAGAACACTTGGTCCCACTGAGAATGTTTTTCAACCACCACAAGGCTGGGAACACAGTTTGTGTGTATATGTATGGGGGGCGGGGCGCGCGGAGGGAGATAGCCAGACAACACCCTGCTCAGCGGAAACCCGGCAGAAAGTTCAGGTGGCCCGTGGCCCTCTCCCGTTCTTCCCTGTTACCATTAACAGCATAAACTCAGTGGATGAAATGTGTGTGTGTGTGCGCGCGCAATGTTCTGTCTGTTGCACAACGTCTATCTGGGGGTAGACTCGGGAGTCCCCGAGGCCTGGGCTTCTTATAAAGGACATGGCTTTGTCTCCATGGCCATGGTATTACATGTTCTAAAAATCTATATCCAAATGGAAACTGTTTCAATGACAAGACGATCGGTTTTTATGTTTTTATATATTTGCTTTTTCCCCAAATGAAATCAAGAGTTCCAAACGAGGCACAGATCTACTGTAAGCCACGTGGTAAAGAGTCAACAAGGAGAACCAGGCATAAACAAAGAGCAGCCAGGAGCCACAGCGATGGGCAGTTCCGGGAGAGGCAGCGCTGAGAACGTGGCCTGCGGCAGGAGGACACTCGGGGCCCAGCGCCCCAGCTGCCGGCCCTGCGGCCCGGACAAGTTCATGGGCCCCCCAGTTTCCTAGGACACAGCTTCCTCGCCTGTAACGCTGGGTAAGAACACACTTCATTCAAGAGGCTGCTGTTAGACTCAAACGAGGTGACACACATCAAATCCTGGGCACTGCGCTTGGCAAGCGAGACGCTCCCTGCCGTGGCTACACCCGTGCAGCCCCGAGACACGGGAAGAAGATGTAGGTTGTTAGGATGATACGTTCGGCATTCAGGGAGCTGTGACACGGCTATTAGTTCTGGACAGGTTTCACGCAGAGTCCTCTTTCTAGGGCACATGCTCGGTTTCCCGGAGGCCACCGTCTTTAGCTTGTGTGACAAAAAATGTTACATTCTGGTTGCCATCCTCCCTCCAAATGCACAAAACATCACATGCATTTTGGTGGTTTATGTTATAACATGACAGTTGCCATTTCGGTATATGGAGGACTGTTGGATCTCCACCTGCGCCCCCACCCCAAACGGACATCCGGTTTCCTCTTGAGAATGTGCCGTCATGACCTGAGAGACTGGGGACAGGTGAGGCAGTTACTGGGAGCCCCGTCACATTTGAGCCAGCAGAAATGCTAGAGAAGCGGCCACAGTTTGTGCCCTGCCCAAGGCTCAGCTACTGAAGTCTTTCTTGGGTTCAAAGGCGGCCAACATCCTATCAACACACTCCCTATTCTGAGTAAGCTCAGGTGTTTGTTGTCACCTTGAGACCAAAGTACTGAAATTTACAAAGCAGCATCTATACAGCGGGGTCTTCCTTACTCCATGTCATTGGAGGCAACCTTACTAGTTGCCTAAAGGAAGAGAGAAGGGAAAGCCCCAGGGAGAGCAGGCTGCTGGGCCACGCCTTGTAGCTCAAGCCTCTAGGAAAAAATGCGTACATGATAAATCACAAAAGGACACTATAATCACCTTGAGCCTGAAGAAGCCTGCTTCTCAAAATTCTTAGCGGCCCTGAAAATACTCACCAAGTCACAGAAGACAGCGATGTAAATGACTGAGGAGAGACTCTGCTGAGAACGGAAGAGAACAAACTGGCCTGTTATGTCCTGTGAAAAGCGAAGCTCTGTGGATATCTATCTGCCAGTGCTGATCAAAATTAGGTGCCTGCTCAGGGCCAGGCACTGGGGACAGAACAGTGCCAAGGACAGGCACGGAGCTCACCAGGGGGCGAGTCCCTGTGTGTTTCAGTGGGATGGGGACAAGCGTGTGCATGGTGGATGACACGCCAAGTCAAGGTTCCTGTTCTGTATGTTCAATCAAATCGACACGCCACGTTTCGCAGGCATCCCGGTGGCTGGAGCGCCGCCCCGCCCCCCCGGCGGAGCCCCAGCAGGCTTACCCTTGAAGGTGTGGAATGAGCTGGCCGATGGTGATCTCCTGGGCCACCTTCTGGTAGAGGTCGTGGCTGTTGAGCACCATGGACTCCAAAATGGCCAGGGACCGCTGCAGGATGGAGGTATCCATGCCTGACTTGTTCACGAAACTTGCTATCTGAAAACCCAAGCAGGACACGGGTGACTGCCCGGGGGAAGCAGAGCAGAGAAGGACAGAGGGGAGCAAGTCAAGGAATCGGGAGCTCATTTAAGAAACTCCGACACCAGGGACAAAAAGGCTCTGGGACGACCGCCGCCCAGCAAGGAACGCGTGGAGCCAACGACGACTCTTCGTGATACCACCACAGAGCGCCATTCATCTCCGAGGTCTATAATTCAATAATAAGCAACTTTTAGAAGGGGAAGCGTCCAAGAATTCAGCCTGGTGTTTCCAGGATTATTCTAAGTTTCAGCTTTCAACAGCAAACCATTTCAACACATACACCCGCGCCTGCGTATCCAGGGGCATTGGCTCCAAGACCCCCTCAGATAAACTCCACGGGTGCCTAAGTCCGTCATGGACAGAGGAGTAAACAGTATTTGCCTACAACGTTGATTGGCAGATAGGCTACAGCAGGGTGCGCCAGCACATCTCTTCATCTGGGAACGTTCAGCATAGTGCTCGGGGCTTGGCACAGTCAAGTGTTGCCTCTTGGAACTATCCGGGATTTATTTTTTCCCAGAATGTTTTCCATGTGCAGCCGGTTGGATCCGTTTTGGTGTGAGAGCCACAAGTAAGAAGGGCCGACCATGGAGCGTAAGGGCCCCTGTGCTTCCCTGAGACGGTAATTCCGACATATACCCAGAGCCGTTCCTCTCCCTTCGCAGGCCGCTCCCTTACCCGCTGGGCCCGGGGCTCTTATGTTATTATGATCCCGTTACAGTCTTCAGGGACTCACACAAATCACACTTGTCAACACAGTTCAACTGGCAACTCCTCAGTCACTGGCTACTCGCTGCGGGATTCCTCAGTGGAATGCTTTTCCCCAGTCCGTCGTTCTATATGGTTAAAATAAACTCCTCTCATCTCTCTAAAGTTGAGCAAACAGGAAAACCTTTCAATGAGCAGTGTGAGAAGTTAAAATAATAGTGTAGGCACTAACATGGATTCTCTAAGGAATTAATCACCAAGGCCTCCAACATAATCAATCACAACGAAAGAGAGAAGCAAAGTAAGGGTTAGAATAATGGGTCTCAGGCACCCAAACACATGGGCACCATCAAGGTTTGCTTGTAGAGGCCTCATTAAAAGCTACTACTGTCTGTTGACAACTCATGCTAAAAGGCTGTTACTGTATCAACATAATGACTACTTTCTGAAAAGCTACACAGTTTGGCTCCATGACAAATTGACACTTGCTGCTTCCCTCTGTCGACACTCATTTCTCCCTTTACGCCATCCCACCGACTGCTTCTCCTAGTCCCCTCTCCATCCCTGTACAAGATAAAAGGCAAAGGTGTCCATGGTAACTTGTCGTTACCATGTCAACTGTTTCCAGCCCAAGGACTCCCTGGTGAAAGTAGGGGTGAGGGTACAGACACCAACACCGTCTCTGGCCCCAGATACATCTGGATCTCAGAGGGTGGGGAATAAAGGACATAAAGTAGAGTAACATTATGATTTTATATTCCAAATGCTATTATTTTATAATAGAACCTAGGGGAAGAGTATGAGAATTTTAAGATTCTCAAAAGAATTCCGCTGGCCCATCATCTGATCGCTTCAGCCTGTTTCATGGCTAATAAACCTCTGCAGCGCGTTTACTGCCCCTGGAGAGCCCTGGCCTTCATCCCAAGAGCCTGCTCCACTTCAGCAAACCCGTCACCTTTCTTCGTCTAAGGCCATCTTTCCTCTGACAAACATCCAATTCCTCTCATTCCGTGCTCACGGCTTAGCCCTCAGACCTCTTCTAAAGGGAACAGAAATGCCTTTGCTTCCCCGTCGGCAGCACCCCAACCATTTCTCGTTATCCCGGCACAATTCTTGGGCACTTGCTAGAAAATGGCAGACCTCTCTAAGAACGTCTTGACTGCATGGCTGATTTTCGCCTGGACTAAATTTCTCCACCTTCCACTTTCCTTGGAGGGTTTCCACTCATTAAACTTGCAAGTATCTTTAAGGCTCCTTGGAGAATTTTCCACCTGAGAGTGTATCATCAAGTTCCTTCCCACCTGCCCGCCTTCACCCCCTCTTTCCATTCATTCGAGTGACACGCCTTCATTGTGTGCTGGTCAAACAGCCTGGTATGTCTGAGGTCAGAAAACAGAGAGACGAGCAAGCCCACCCCTCCCTTCAAGGACCTTGTAGTCCAGCAGAGACAGATGGAGGAAAAGGCACTTACTGTGAAGTATGTTAAGTGCTTATGCTTTTCTTGGCATCCAAAAGGGTACTTCCATTTAGATATTCCAACGAAGACTAAATTAAATGGGATGGAAACCGATCGCATTGTCCTCATGACCCTCCTGTTGCAAGGTCCCCTTTTCCAAGTTTGCCACATCATCGGCCATTGGTAGCCCCAGTCACCAGACATCCGTCACCTGCTGCCACGTCTCCCCTTTGGTGCACATCAATCTGCAAGCACAGCGCTGGCCTGTGGCCTCACTCAGGACCAGGTTACTGAGACAGAATGTTCTTCAGGGTTCTCTATGTTCCAAATGGCCCCCTAACACACGTACCCTCTCCTTCCACAAACATTCTTCTGACAATATTCTGGAAATATTCACTCAGAACTCCGGGTGTTTTTACATGAAGTGCACCTTCTCATAAGGGGTTTTGTTTTATTCAGATACTGACTCTTAACGCGCGCCCGCTTCCAAAGGGCTTGCTCAGTGGGGGGCAAAATAGCCTGCGGGCATTGCTTTGATTTAGGGATTTTTAGGTTCCATTTCCATTCCCCACCTCTGGAACTAATTGAAACCAACCGCTTACCTTCATCTAACTTCTTTAAAATTAATCTTTCCTTTTGTTACACCTCTTTCTTGACATATGGAGCCCCCCATTTCAGTAGCCCTACAGCAGGCTACCGGCTGAGCCTTTGGGGGATCTCACGTAGCTGCGTGTTGCTGGTAGAGAGTAGGGTCCTACACATAGTGCTCTAGGAGATACTAGTAACTTTTGAAACTAACTTCTATCTTTTGCCTTTCTTTATCCGTGGTTTTACCCAGGCACAGAGACCACCCAGTATTTTCATCTAATGAGCACTAATCACCAAGGCATCAGTGCTGATTAAGCAAATATAATGACTGTAAACAGGCTCCATATCAGTGCAAGCCCAAATGCTATTTAACGTCTGTAATTTAAAAGGTGAAGGATGTCTGGTGAAATTTTAATTTCCCTTTTCCCTCCCCCCACCACACAAAATCAATAACAACTTCCTTTGCCTTTACATTTTTTGAAGTCCCACTCCTGCCCTTTTGGCTGGCTCAGGTGGCAGGGTCTCAGCCGGCCCAAGTACGGCTTCTGGAAAGCGGATCTACAGCACCGGGAAGCAGAGGGCGGAAGAGTTAGCAATAAGCACACACACCGCTTCCACGTGCTCCCGTTCATTTAAAAATGCTACCTAAACAAACCTGAGGACTGTCTGGGCAACATTTAAGAAGCTAAGGGTCATCACAGGGCACAAATCAGCGATACGAACTGAAAGCCACGTAAACCCTTCTTAGCATCACTTAGAACGAGGTCCTAAATTCTCCCACATTATTAAAACCAAAATGAGCCTTGGAGAGCCTGGAGCTCCACTCCTGCGTGTTCAGGTATCCAGGCAGAGGCCGTAAATCTCACAAGTTTTCCAGAGGCAAAAGTCACTGGGTCTCCAAACCGAAACGGCTGGATGCTTGTCCAGACACCTGAAACACTGCGGGGTGAACCAGGCCCTCTGCAGAGCTAAGGTTTCCAGAGCATTTGTACGAAACCTTCCTGCCAAGAAAAGGCACCGATGTTATCCTTGGCAAGAAGAAAACCAACTTGTAACGCAAAAAAGCTTTCTTGGTTTGGGTTTTTTTTTTGGGGGGGGGGGGGGGTTCATTTCTTTTCTCTCCCTGTCTTCCTACCCTCTCCTTAAGTAGCCCAGTCTTAAAAACCAACAACGTTATATATTGATATCAAGGGATTCCAGGTTTCAAAGGGCTTATGAAATGATGTTATTTATTGCGAACAGAGTTTGTAACTAGACTCTAAGTGCACACATAACCGAACAGATAAAGTAGCAGAGGAGGAGACGGGGCAGGCAGGGACAAAATCCTCCTCCCAAGTGCTATGAATTTGGCATTAACAGGAAGCCAAGTCTGTAGCACAGAGATAAGCATCTTTTGTCAGTAGATTTTTGTCCAGATAAAGCTCCATTTAGAAGACAGTTGTCTGCATACAATGCCTGGGTTGTCAGAGCGCTGAATTTCATCCAGCTAGTGAATTAAAAAAATTAACCTTGCAATAACTATCAATTATAAAGTCATTTTCAGATGACCATTTTCAAAATGCACGTAACGGTTGAGCTCTAAGTGGCAAAAAAGGAAACAGAATGGGAATGAGGACATAGAATATGTTAAAGCTACTGCCTTCTGAAAGAATATTTCATTTTTTATTTAAACTGTCAAGATTACTAGTCTTTACTTATTTAGATTATAGCTTTTCATTTAATTTCAGCGAATGGAAAACATTTTCTTAAGCAGTTAGAAAATTAAATTATTGTCATTTTCTCTCCCCACTTCTCACATCATTTAAAAAGAGCGTATTGTATTCCTTTCTGCTTATAACCTAAACTTTACTTGAAATACACTTCAAGTCGGTGCCAACTGTACTCCTTCTCGCCTTCAAGTTTTAGTGTTTAAAAAAAAATGCATCGGAAGCAGATTTCATTCATTCATTTCATAGATATTTAGCAAGGCTCTGAGGACAACATCACTGAGAAAGTGGCGGCTCCTCCTCCCCAGGACTCACGGTCCATTGGGAGAGCCACACGAATGGAAGGAAAAGTCACAGAAGTGTGACACGTGCTGGAACCGGGGCGAACACGAGACCTGAGGAGGATACAGAGCAGGAAAGGTCACTTAACTGTGCGCGAGGCAGGCCAGAGAGGCTGACCAAGAGGCAGCGTGAGGGGTGGAGCAAGTCTTCAGAAGCTATGCTCTCCACCACTTGAAAACAAGGACAAGTAAGTGCCTGAGCGTGCGGGGAGGAGCCTGAGCCAGGGACCAGTGACAGCCCCCTCCCTGAGCCTCCCAAGCCACTGTGTCCTCGCCTGCTGATCAGAAATAACAACACTCTCTTTCTCTCCTGGAGAGGGTTCCTGCTGGGATCAGAAGAAATAATGTGGTTTGTGAACACACAAGATAAGTTCCAGGAATTTGCCTTCAGAAGAGCACTGTTTTTATAGCAAAAGGGGCTCTAGAAACAGACAGGAAGGCAAACGGAATACAGGAAAGGAGGCCTGCCATAAATTCAGAGTGAGTTAAATATCAGAAGCCCACAAAACCCAGGATGTTTAGATTGAACTTGCTTCTCCAGAACTTTCACCTGAGAAAGACAACAGCAATTTGCTCTCTGCTTTCATCATCCAATGCTCACCTTTCTTGCTACCCCTCAGGAAAGTCCCTCACAACACATCAGATTTCCTCTGGTTTTCTTGTCTATAACCCCTACTTTTCTTTTCAGCAATTTTGCCAAACAGAGGCAAACAGGGCCCCCTTCCTTTTATGGGTGTCTTCTAGGGGGTTCCCACTGCTTATCGCCTTTGGCTTTATGCCCCTGCAGAGGGCAAGTGGCTCAGAGGTGTGTCACCAGCATCCTGGGTCCCCAGTCAGCTCTTGTCTGAAATAAATAAGCAACATCCCGCAGGAGTCCGATCTACGGGGCTTCTGTGCCAGCGACTCTCACATGTCCTTCAACTCAAGGCAGTATCTCCCTCGAGATGCTCATTAACTGCAAAAGGAAAAGGAGTGACTTCACCGTGGGGAGACTCAGCAGATGCCACCTCAACCACGCGGCCAAGGTCCACATCGCCGTCCATGAAGACATACGGCCAGCAGGTGCCGCACTGTGAGCGCTGAGCAGGGCACAACATCACTTCTCCGGCGTTCTGGCCAAAAACGCGTGACCTTAATTCAACCAGGAGGGAAGTATCAAAGAAACCCAGGTTGAAGGACGTTCTGCAAGGTAAGTGCCCAGTACCATTCAAGATTATCCAAGTCACGAAAGACAAGGAAAACCTGAAGCACAGCCAGATCGCAAGACACTAAGGAGACATGGCAACCGAGAGCCGCGTGGGACGCTGGACTGGGTCCTCGACCAGGGAAAGAACATCAGAAGAGAAACTGGTGAAGTCAAATTATGGCAACGCATTGCACCGCCATCAGCTTCTTAGGGGCGGCAATGGTCGTTCCGTCACCGTGCAGCATGGGAACAGCAGTGGAAAAGAAAGCTGGACGAAAGGCCCCGGGGAACGTTCTCTGTCATTTTGTGCTACTTCTCTGTGTGTCTACCGTGATTTCAAAATAAGAGATCTAAAAAATTCTGGTGACTTTTATTAGGTTTTGCTTTGATTTTCCAGCGTTTGCACAGCTTCCCTGAAATTCTTTATTTTAGAAAATCCTTCCCAGGAACCTACACTTAAAAAATAAATTTATGCCCTCCCGACATGTGCCGGACAAGAGAAGGAAGAAACATGCCATTCCATTTATAAACATTTTCACAAACACAAAGAGAGGAAAAATAAGTTAACAAATTAATAGTAATAGCTTATGATTTAATAGTTACACAGTTGGGGCTGTGTATTTTTTGTCAAGAGGACGAGAGGAGTTCCAAGCGTGCAGGTCTGCCTTTATGGCGACTCGGTTGCAGGGACGGTGGGGGCTCTCCCGCCCTCTGCCCTCACGGGGTCCCTTTACGAGCTGCTCCCACAGAAGGAGGAACAAGTGGGGCCAGCTGGTCACAGAGACGCCCACTGCACCATCGTCACGAGGGAGCGGCCACCCTGTGCCTGAGAGACAGGACCCCTTCTCTTACCGCCTTGCTTCCAACCCGGCCATGTAGGAAATCCGCACACTTTGCCTCTTTCCCTTTCCCTGTTCATGGGGTTGAGGGGAGAAGATCAGGAGGAATGTCAGAGGCTCTGCATAGGTCATGAGAACCGCAGAGCCCTGTGCAGGGACTCAGCACACACTTCTGTGGCTTTAACAACATGACACCTTGATTTTTCTTGACTTTGGGCTCCCAGTGCAATCCCTTAAGATTTCGGTGGGCAGAAAATGTCACTTTCATACATAATTTAGGCTTCCTGACCCATGTACATCTAGTACTATCAACCCCCCCCTTTCTTTAACAAAGAAGAAAAGGAAACAACTTTTAGATACCCTCAAAGCAGAGAAAAATAGCTACAAATGGAGGAGGTGATTTAAGCCAGGGAGGCACCATCTGCCTTACCTTCTTTATGAACGCCACCGAAAACGTATCCCAGGACACTATTCCGTGGTCCATCAGCTCAACAAAGGCCGTCAGGGTGAAGGACAGCATGTCCCCAAAGCTGGAAAACACAGGGAGGCACAGAGGTCACAGGCCAGGAGCGGAGCACAAGGAAAGACCCAAAAGGGACAAAGCCCCTTTATTGTCCATGGGAGCCAGCAGGGAAGATGTGGAATAATTCTCTTAAGAGTATCAGCACTTTGCAAAGGATTTGTGTGGCCTCTATGTACCTGCACGTGTGTGTGTGTCTGTCTCTCTGAGCAAGTGCATACCCATGCACACAAGCTCATAGCTACAAACACATGGGTAAGTAAGCACATTCATTTCTACGTTACACCGGCCAGCATTTTCTCTTTGTATAGTATCTATGGGAATGATGACGCTGGCAGGCAATAGATTGCTGTGACTCAGAGGCCCGTAGGAAGGCTCCAACGTGTGCATCAGAAACCCAAAGGGAGATGCAGCAAGCTCAGGTAAAAGCCGTTTTGTCTCTTATCAGACAATATCCAGATTTCTGGTGCCTTCAAAACAGCGCTTTAACAGACCCTGAATTTTCTAGAAACTCGTCTTCCCTGTAAATTTTCATCATAGTAAGTATTAAGTTGAAACTCTCAAGATAAGTACTCTCCAAGTTCACTGATTTTGCTCACCAGGACTTCTACCCTGTATACAACTGCACTGATGCATATGCTTGATTTTTAAAAAATCAAGTTACTTGTTCACACTTTGCAATCTGTAGGCTCATATACCACAACTGCGGCACTACAGGGCCTCATAAAATGTTTAAATTGATTGTTCCCATCAATTTTCAATTAATAGAATAGAAAGCAGGCTCATCTTTCTCTACACCAGCTGCACAATTCCCCCTTCTTCCTCGTGTTGCAGCCCGGCCTCAGGAATGGCCTCGGGCTGCCAGCTTCACCCAGAAACTGCGGTGCAGAAAGGAACCTGCGGAGAGGATGCAGCTCTGGGGAAGGAGCCTGATCCCAAGATGCAGAAGTCAGAGGGGCTGAGCGGCAAGCGACGGGAAAGGCTGAGCGCGTGGCCCCTGGGGCCGGACAGCAGATGGAGGGAAGGGGTTGCTGATGCAGTTTCTGCCTCGGTTTCCTCATTTATTAAAAAGGGGGATGGACGATGCCGATGGTGGGGGTGACGGTGCCCAACTCCAGGGATTGTTGGGGGAGGTAAAACAAGCTCCGGCACTGAGAGCCGCCCAAGCAGCGGGTAGCAGGTGGAGGGCAGCCTTTGAGTGCAAACTGTGATCCTTGTGCAAAAGTGAGGTTTTAACAAGGTAACCGAAGCCTGTGATTTTCAAATGCTTGCCCTCATTGTGTCAAGATTATCTGTCTCTGGAGCCAGAAAACTAAAACTGGCAGGAAGGCCATGCCATTCTGGCCGACAGAGAAGCAGTAAGTGCTTTTTTAAAAAGGCTTTTTTTTCTGAGTCACAGATGGGCGATCCCAATCTCGCAGGTGCCCCTAGGTGGCATCAGAGGATCGTGCCCCAGAAAAGAAATTCCAGACAAGAAAACAAACTCACTTGAAGGAGAGAACAAAAAGTAAAGAAAGGAGAAAATTGGGCTGGAAACAGTAGCAAGAAATTCCATAATGACGCTTTCTACAGACAATGAGACAAGAAAATCCAAGCATTAGAGAAAGAAAGAAAGGAAGAAAGGAAGGAAGGAAGGAAGGGAAAGAAAGAAAATGAGAGAGCCAGGCAATAAATCAAGTAGTAAGATTTATTAATAGATTATTCAGGCATTAGTATTACTGTGGTTACATTATCATAGAATAATGCATAGTATTTGTAGTAAAACTATTAGCTTATTATTTTATTATAGTAGTAGTAAACAGTATTAGCTAAATTTTTTAACTTAAAACAGCAACCATGTAACTACCAGTTGCCATTTGGTCACATCTGGCCTGCCGCAGACCTCATCCACTAAAGATGCTCCTCCACACGCCTGGGGACGGCTTCCGTGGTCTCCAGACCAGGCCCCAGAGTGGCCTCAATGTCATTGCTAACGGAACAAGCAATGCAAAGGCAGCGACAAAGGAACGCGCACACTTTGGGAATCAAGCTCTTCTTTACATTCCCTGTAGCCAGTTGAGACTGGGAATAGTCTCCATGAGCTGCTTTAGAAGCAAAAGCTAAATTATATTTACGCTTCTAATTAGCTGAAGGCAAAATAACTTTGTCCCCTGCTCGATGAACCCATAATCTATATAGCCTTAGTAATGGCTGGGGATGGTCCCTCGTCCCCAAATGCTCCAGAGCTCTGCCTACAGACTCCTCCTGTAAGAGCCTCGGGAAAAAAAGAGGCAGAGAAAGGGAACGAGTCTCATCTCGAAAGTTGCTTTGGGGCCAGCGTTTCAATGTCCACGGGGGGAGGGAGGAGGAGCACCAGACCTGAGACGGCAGACAGGTTTCTGCCTTGTGCAAATTGCCCGTTGGGGTGAATGATCAATAAGTGAGAGAAAAGCTTCTCCACGTCACACCCCCCAGTGCCCAAAGGGAAGATTGCTTTCTGGATCTATCCAGCAACCGGTTATAAAAATGTTGTATGTCACACTTTACACAAATATTATCTAGTAATGTATATATCTATACACATTTTAATATATAATTACATATATTATAAAGGTGCTTTAAACATGATATATAAATGTTATTAGATGTAGCTATATATGCTGTTGCCTAATGTTATTAAACATATAAAACATATCACACATATTATATATATGATATGCATAGTGCATACCAGCGTATGTAGTTTACTATGACTGGTAGCTGGATGGCACACTCGGTTTCCAGGAGGGAGGATTTTTTCCAAACTCAACTGCAAACCCCCAGCGGCCAGGACAGGATGGCCATGCTAACACGGCACTACATTCCGGATCAGTGGATTCATCACCTCCTTTCCTGAATGACGGCGATGCTCCACCAGCCTAGGAAACCTGCAGCCGGCGTGGTTTGTGACAGGCAGCGCGACAGACTCTTGACCGCAGCGCGTCACGCATGCAACATTAATAAGCCAAGCAGCTAACAGCGCCCCCCAGGGGCTTTGTCGGTGGTCGGTGCTGTGCGCGACCCGCGGCGCCCAGCTTGGAGCGCAGAGGTCGGGCTTGGCTCCTGGCGCTGCGCCTCCGGAAGCAGAAGCGCGCGCCCGCGTCTGGGTTTGGGGAGAGCTTTCGGGCGGCCCGCGCCAGCGCACCGTGTGCGCTGGCAGGACGCCAATGAATGTTTCCTTGCTGCGCGGTAGAGACCATCTTCGTTCCAGCGGATTTCAGCCAAGCCCCCAGCATTGGAATGCATGCTGCTGAGTTATAAAGGAACAGTGCTTCTGTATGTTTCCACGGGGGGCCGTGCCCAAGGTAAGTGGAGGAAAGGGGAAATAAAGGCCGGTTTTAATGCTATCAATAAATCACACTGAATATGTCCTAAATTGCTAACGTTAATGAATATAGTTCTGCCCTCTTCTGTGAGTTTTTCCATGAACAGCCGGTCCTTGAATAACATCATTTAGTTTAATGTCATTTTGATATAACATTGATGAGATGCCATAGGAAGTTAAATCTTGTTTATATCAATTAGCCTGTGGGAAAACTGCTCTCCTTCTGCGACATTCTGCCGCGGTTCCAAGAATCTATCGATGAAGTAAAGGGAGGACTTACTGTAGTGTTTCCGGCCTGTGGTAAAATGTATACACATTGAAATGTACGGATTTCTACATCACCCCTTAGGCATGACCCTGGCCTTCAGAATTAGAGCGTGATTTATGTCGGCGAACATTCTTTTGGCCCCTTTGTTAAAAATTTAACTATGGGTCATTTCTGCACTCTATTCCATTGACCTGTCTATCCCCTTTATAACAATATCGCACTGTCTTAAGAACTAACTTTATAGTAGTAAGGCTTGAAATCAGCTCATGAAATCCTTCAACTGTGTGAATCTTTGTTGTTTTTTCAAGACCGTTTTGGCTCTTCTATGCATTTCTTTTAAGTTTTAAGATTGGTTTATAATATCTTTTTTAAAAAATTGTATTGCATTGAATCACTGAAGATAAATTGAAGGAGAATTTCTATCTTAACAATACTGTATCTTCCAAATCACAAAACAGTAGCTTCTCCTCCTACTTACTTCTTTAATTTCTTTTGGCAATACATTTATGTTTTAATAAACAGGTAATGCATGTCTCTTGGTAAATTTATTCTTAAGAATTTTATGATTTCTGATACTTTGTAAATAAATTTTTAAAATTTTGTTTTCCAGTTGTTTGTTATTAATGTGTAAAAATGCATCACTTTTATATACCAATGTTGTATCCAGAAACCTTGCTAAATTCAATTAGGAGATTTAGCAGTATCTTTGTAGATTTCTTAGGATTTTTTACATAATAATCACATCTTCTACAAATAGAGTTGCTTTTACTTCTTCCTTTCGGATCATACATCTTTTTTTCTTTCCTGACATCGCTATGGCTAAAAACTCCAGTTCAACGTTGAAAAGAAGTGCAAAGCACATTTGCCTTATTTCCGATCTTTAGGGGAAAGGTTGCTCAGTCTTCTAAAGTTAAGAAGAATGCATTTTTTGTTGATCGCCTCTATGAGGCTGAGGAAATTGCCTCTATTCCCAGATTGCCGAGAATTTTTATGAATGAACGTTGGACTTTACTAAATGCTCTTTCCGTAGCTATGATCTATATTCTGTGTCTGTTAAGATTATTTTTCTTCCCTTCTTTTACTAAGGGCCGAATCACACACAATGACTGATTTCCAAACGTTAAACCACTCCTGAAGTGAACCTTTGTCGCCTGTAAAGTAGTATCGTTTTTACATATTGCTTGATTACGTTTGGTAGTATGTTGCACCTCTGTTCATTGGATGATCTATAGTGTTTCTTCCCTATACTGTCTCTGTCAGGTTTTGCTCTCAGGGCCATGCGGCGTCAGCACTCGGTCTGATTACGCTGCTCTGCATTTTAAGAACGAGGGCCTTGAGCATTGACTTTGTCTGCGATGGATGAACCCCAATCCTGGTTCCCACCGCTGTCAACACCTCCAACATCGCTGCATACCAAAGAATAAAACTGAGGGAGGTAAACTTTAAGACATCGTTTTGGTTGCATAAGGTTGTTAGAGAAAAACTCGGTTTGAATCCCAGCTCCACCACCTGATTTCATCTCCTGCGTGAAGGCAATTGATGCTAATTTTACGAATCTCATGTGGTGGATAGGAGTGTAAATTAGAGTGAAGAGTGTAAACATGTCACAGTGCCCAGGGCAGGACTAACTCTCGTCAGCGGTGGCTCCACTGCCATTACCGTTCGGTGCTTCTACTGTATGAAAAGTATGTAGCAAATTACGAGTTCAGAGGCTTTCTCCTAAAAACTCAGGATTGCTTTCTCTACTTTGTTACGACTTAATAATTGAAGACTTCCGGCAACTACACATTTTTCTGCGTGGAGGGGTGGGGGAGCAGAAACGATTTGAGAGCAACACCCTACCCGGGAGGTGAGCAGGGCTTTCCCGAGGGCTTACAAAATAAGGCGCACAGTTTCGGGTCTCTTCGGCCTCCCTCTTCAAGCTGAAATGATCTGCTTAATAACTCGGCAAAACAGAAATTTGTGCAGGCTAGTACAGTGAGTTTGTTTCTTTGGTCTCATCTTGTTTAGTGGGTAAGAACGGAGCCGAGGAGGAAAAACTCGAAGACGGAATTAATCCTGGGAGCTCCAGGCAAAATTACCAAGCGATACACTTTAGACAGGTGGCAGCACTTTCTCAGATGCAAAGTAAATGATTTTCATTCCATACTTCAACCCTGAGTATCTTTTTTTTTTCACGGAGCCATTGAAGAAAATCAAAGGCTTTTGACTTTGAACATCACATAGGCCACAAAAAAGTTTTTGTTTAATGCAATGCATAAAATTATGCCTAGCCTTGCTGCAGAGAAGGGCAGTGGCCCTGATGTGCTCATTCTGTGGTTGCAAATATGAAATACCCTCTCTGGCGCACAGCAGAAAGAAACGGGAAATAAATTTTTAAAGAACCTCTTTATGAGAACATCAAACAGCAAAAAAAAAAAAAAAAAAAATTACTCAAACAGCTACATGCACAGTTATCAGAGGACAGGGACTAATGATGCAGAGAAGAAGAGAGTGTTATATAATCTGTATCAACTGATCGTAAATTCTTACCAAGGCTTCATGATCTTCTGCAACTTCTGGTATCGTCTGCAAAATTCAAGAACAATCATGTGAGGAGCAAGTTTGAAAGCAGAGATTTTTACACAAATTACGTATCTTTTAGAAAGACTTAACCGCCATGAAGTAGGGAAACTTTATTCACTCTGAACCATTATTCAAAGTCATAAATCGGTGTTCTCTAATATAAGAAACAATCAAAAGACAAGATTAAAGTACTGGAACCAACATATTACATTTACTTATGAGTCAAGGCAACGAGAGCACTCCATTTGCCTCAGAACAGGTATATGTTCAAGAAGGGAAAATCCCCAGAGCTAAGAATGGGTACATTTTCAATGAAAAAGGTAAAGCCTAAAAGTACCAGACCAGCTATTCCTGAATACATCCTCAACACTGAACACACAGTCGTCTATCTTTCTTGGGTAAAATGCTCACTGATTTTACTTTCCCTTTTCTGGAGAAAAAAAAAATTCTGAAGGAAGACATCCTGAGTCATTGCAATAGTCTTGGACAACAGACAGGACTCCAGGGTGGTAGCCTGCAAAAAAAATGTGCAATAGACAGATCTTTCCTGCAAGAAAGGACGATGATGCTTCTTAAAACCCTGGGATCAAGAAGACAGAGAAGCAAGTGACCCTAACCTTATCAAACCCCCCGCATTCCTTGGCAGGATAGTGCCAAGCCTGCCAAACCTCACTGGCACTATCTCCTTCCCTCTGTATCGGCTACTCTACCCACCTGTCCAACCAGCTAAGTCCTCTCCCAAACTGCCCTGATTCTAAGATCCTCTGAAGCCTCTCCCTGATTTCCTTGACCAGACGGAGCCCACCCATGTCTGCCTGGGCTGAGGCCACCTCAGCTGTGTGACTCAGGACGTCACTGTCTGGCCAGCTCCCTGAGGGCAGGGTCTCTGACCGTGACCCACTTTTCTAATGTCAGGTGCGTGCAGAGCACAGGTAGGTGCTCAGTAAGTGGTTGATGAATAACCTCGCTCTTCCGAAGTTATATTTTACATTTGCAACTACATACAATGTAACTACTTCAGAAACTTAACTGACCACAAGATCAGATCTGGTATTGGTAAAACTGTGGGATTAGAAATGTATATAAAGAGATATCCCTCTTCCTCCTCCTCTCCTTTACTTGCCTGTCTTTAAAAAAAATAATAAAAGGGTACTGGCTTCCTTCCCTCCTCCTTTGAAGGGCCCTGGGCAGGGTGAAGGAGCGGGTGGCCACCAGGGGGCAGGCTTGAGCACAGGTGGGTCCCCCTGGAAGGACTGACGTTACTTTCCACTAAAGGAACGGGGCCTCCTTGGAGAGATGACCCCAGCCAGGGCCGGGGCAAGGAAAGAGTGAGGTAAGTCTGGAGCAGCTCATGGAGCCAGAAAGCAGAGGAGGGCCAAAGAGTAATTGGAGCCAGGGCAGAGGGCAGAGAAGGCGGCTTGAAGAAGGTTCCACAGCCAAATCTCGGGCAAATTGAGCGTCAAAATAAATAATCGTGGTGATTGATTACAGGCCATTGAATAAACCAGGAACAAATAAGTCCACGTTGTTTTACAGAGCAGTGTGCTTGCATTGCTGCAGACCCAGGTCTCTGGGGGGAAACACTCAGACCTCATTTGTACCATTTGTCCACAGTGTAACGACTCCAAAATGACTTATTAGTTAATCGCAAAGGGGGCACGGAGCATTATGATGGAGATGCCTGGAAGGCTCTACGTTCAGGCGTCAAAGGGACACCAGTAATCAGACAGACAGACAGACAGACAGAAATCGGCGTGTCATCACTGGGTGCCGTTAAAAACCACACACACCCAAGCATCTGTGACATCCTAGCCAGCAACATATATACAGGTCTCAACTTTGGATAAAACAGAAGGGGGGGCGCGGGGGGAGAGAAAAGTGTTTCTGTGGAAAATCATGCAGTGTTTATACGGATAGCACAGCACGCTCTGCTGGGTTATCAGATCGCCGCCTTATTGTCTAGCTGATGCATATGTATATTCTGTCCTGTCTGTTAGTAATTTGACTTCTTCCCTGAAGGTGAAAAACCAGTTTTGTCTCCATTTGCAATTCATTTCAACATTCCTGAGCTCCAAATAAATTTGAGCCCTTTTAACTTTTCCTTTGAAATGGTTAAAACATTTTGCCTGATTCTCTCATTTCCCAGGAGTGAAATGAATTCTTTTAACATGTGTTCATTTTTATATACACGCCATGCTTTTATCTTTTCCTGAAAATTACCTTTAATAATTTACCTTTTAGCAAACCCAAAGTGGAGGAGAGTCTACAAAATGGCTGAACGATGTTCTTAAAAAGTGCCCAAGTCGTGGGTGAAAAGAGAAAAGAAATAGTTCCAGATTGAAAGAGATGAGGAAGAGACGGTACAACAGGATGCAAGGTGCTACTCTGAGTTAGATTCTTCTGTTAATATGAAAGGACGACTCTGGGACAACAGGTGAAACTTGACCTTGCAGCTTTCCCATTCAGAGTGTGAATGTTAAAATTAATTAAACCGGGAGGCCAGTGACCTGAGGCAGCAATAATGCCTTGCTGGCCTTTGAAAGCCAACCCAAAATCTAAGCCAGTCACTGCCTCAAGGTTTCACCCAATCACAGCCAACTAGGCTTTCACGGTAGCCAATCAAATAATTCCTTGGTTTTGCTCCGCCTCTTCTCCATAATAGCCTTTCCCCTGGGGTACCTGTGGGCGGAGAGTCCCTGACCACCTCCAGCTTGGCTCTGACGGATTCGAGCTGATTTTTGCTCCAATAAATTCTAAGAACTTTTAATGTGTCTCAGTTTATCTTTGAATGGAAATGTTTCAAAATTAATCATATAAAGCGTAGACGTGTAAGTAACATATGAAGCCGTCCCTGCAATCTTCCAACAAGCCTTCCCGCCCGGGGTCTTGAGCGCCCCGTTTCTGTGTGTGCCACCTCCACGGCTGCCCTGGCCTTGGCAAGTGGCCCCTGACCTGCGTGCAGAGATGAATCCAGTGCCTTGTCCCGAGTCACCGTGTTTTACTTCTCAACTTCCTCCCCTTAGCCTCAGCTGAAGCAAAAACAGAAGAGGACTGTTTGTTGCGATGCCTGTTTTTCTGAGGCTTTTCCTCTGTGGGTCTCACACACCCGCTTTTAAGGAAACGAGACAAGGAGGACAGACGCTTCTGGAAAGGCTGCTGTTTGAGAGTGGCCCCACGCCTCTCGTTTCAGCGCCAGGTAGGTATTCTTTTAGAGCAGAAGATAATCCCTCCGACCAGGCTGTGGGACCCCTTCTCCTTTCCAGCGCCAGAGGGAGGCACAAACACCCACAGACAAAGCCAGCAGCGGCGGGGCGGAGGGAGATCCAGTTTAAGGGATTTTCTGCCCGGGGGCCCCTGACAGAGTTTTTGATGCTTGGCCCCCTGGCGTTTGTGATACAAATGCGTGGCAGCCGGGCGCCTGGAACCCGGGGGCTCTGCCGGCTGCACTGCCAGGGCGGCGGGCAGAGGGCGCGGCACCCCCGCCGCCTGTGTGGCCTCTGGGAGCAGCTGCTTTTGGGCGAGGTCTGGGGAGCTCTTTGCTCTTCCCAGGTGGAGTGCAAGCCGTGCACCTGTGACCTGCACGGGGCCTTCCAGAACAGCCCTGGTTTATAAGCCGCCCCAAATGCTCAGAAGCAAGAAGCTGGACTGTAAGAGGACTGTAACAATCCGTGTCCGTAGAGACAACTAAGTGACTTTCAAAAAAGAAATTCATCCTCGGTGTAAAGGCAAAATTTCAAAGGTCGCACACAGTCCGAAACTGTCAGCTGCCACTCTGTGCTCTGCCCCTACGCCCATGTGCCTAGCCCAGTGTCAGGAACATTCAGCACTCAAATGGCGCCCACTTGCTAAATGAATAAAACCTACAAATCCATTCTCAAGGGCAGGTGCTGGGCAACATCAAAGCCAAGAGATCATTCAGGGCACTTAACACCAGTTATACCTTGATTTTCTTCTGCAAGAAACTGACTCCAGCAAGGAGAAAATGATTTGAATAATGAAAGCTTAACATGAAACTGCACATGTGTTAATGAACAATGTCAACAATCATGTGTTATAAACACAAACACACGTAACTAGACATACACACCAGAGGACCGTCTCTTCTGGGTCATGTGTACGACAGAATGGGGAGGGGACCATAAGTGATGCAATTAATGATGTTTGTTTTTAAGACCATTACTTGGGGGCTTCCCCTGTATCTAAAATAACTGTGGGACTCTTTTTACCGTTCGTAATACAGTCAAATTGGGGAGGAATGACTTCAAACCAAGTGAATATAAAGTACTTGTAGTTTCCCCAAATTAGGGAGGAATCACACCCCTCTCTGCTATTTTTCCTAGAAAAGCTAGAATCCCTAAGGGAACATCAGCTCCCTGTTAACCAGGGTGCTGGATATGGCCACTCTCCTACCCCACGGCCAAGTATAAACCAGGACATTTCAGCAAGCTATAGGGACATTCTTATTTTAAAACAGCTTTAACATTGGGCATAGTCTCTGAATCAGGAATTTTATTCCAACAACATAATTTAAATTTTCACAATGATTTTGCTAAATGAAGAGCTGATTGCAAAACACTCGCGCTCATGTAAAAAACTGAAAACAATGTAAATGGTCAACAACAGGGAGGCAGTTAACTACACTAAGCCCATCTTTCCCATTATGTTCTATTGTGTATCAATTGAACCTTAACAAGACTTTAAAAATGAAATAATATGCAGACAATGAACACGATGAGGGGACCGATACTTGGTTACATGAAAACAGAATCAGGTATAAAAGGCAGGCTACAAAGAGCATGACTCCTATAATTCTACTTTTATGAAGCTTGTGCGTGTGTATTTGTATGTAAAAGAATATACGAAAAGTATATAAACCACCCTGTGAAAACTGTCTCTCTTGGGAAAGGTAGATCAGACATGATTCTTATTTTCCTGCTTCTGCTTATTTGCATTTATTGTTAAACAATACACGTAATTTTTATTAAGGACAAAAAGCTAATTTTTTTTTAAACTGACGTTTTGTAAGTATGCAAATTTAACATTTTTCACTCTAGACTTGTCTGCTCAGGGTGGTGCTAACAGCTTACTCATATTCCAACGGCGGAATTTTCCCGTCATATTGCCAAGTGGGGCGGGGTGGGGGGACTCTCAAGGCGCTGCCCTTCCATTCTTGGAAATGCCCCCCCTACCCCCACCGCATTCTCTGACTGTTCAACAGAGAAGGACGCAGGGTAAGCTGCACAGCGGCGGACACCAAGAACATGGGGTTTCATAACAATTCAAAGAAAAGCAGGGCTATTCGCTGCTTGGAATTGAAAGTTGCAGGTATAAAATGTTCTTCTGTCAAATAACATACATTATTTCTGAGAAAGCTTTTCATATCCATTTTTTCTTAAACTCTGTCCATTCCTGAATGTTCCCTACCATTTCCTCCCTCAGGTTGGGGCACCATGTTCCCCCACAACTTCATTTGCTTCCACACTTACTTACATTTCAAGCTGAAACTAGGAATGGAATTTCCAAATTCCACCACGGTGGAAAAATTAGATTCAGGTTTTAAACACGGTACTCTGCCAAAGTGACACTTCCCCATGGCTCCTTTGTGGCTAATTTTGCCCCGTGGCCCCTCCTGGTACCAGCTGGAGAGAGACCTTTAAAAGCTCAGCCTTGGGTAATGACTGGCAGGCGGGTATCTCGGAATCTCATTATAGCTTCAAGCCAGGAGAAAAATTCCAGCGACATTTCTTCGGTGTTTCCTACCATTTCCACGGGTCCTGCTTAGAAGCCTCTCCCTTCCCAGCTGGAAGTCCGCCCAGGGTCCTCACTAAATGCCTTCCGAATTGTAGGATCTATTTAATTTGTGTGGTTTCTATTCGAAAGGGTTCCTGTTAATTCATTAAAGTCTTGTGCAAAGTTTAATTGAGAAGCCAGGTATCCTTTTAAGAAAAATGCCTTTCTCTTTTTCATCTGAGCCAAAGATCTGGAGAGAAAAAACAGCCAAGGATCAAATGAGCAGCTTCTGAGGCTGAGTGGCAGGACCTTGCGGAAGGAGGCAGGAGGCTGGGCACGACTTTGAACTTATGTAAAGGGGTGAGCAGGGCAGGCAAGGTGATCCCGAAACAGCAGCCCTTCCGCCTAACACAGTGCGCTGGGAAGTCAACTGCCACACAGAAACCCCCTGAGATCGGGTCTTCAGTTCTGTTTACCTGTCTAAAGCCTAACAAATCGGGATGGCCGATGAATTATAAATAGGTAAATACTACACTGAGCATAATGGGCCTTTTTACACAAGGAATGCAATCGCCGGGGTTCACATAAAGTCGTTCAGTATTGACATTCTCTCATGTTGCCCCCAGGCGTGGGTCTGAGGGATGGGACTCTTTCGGGCCACTCTACAGGCCGAGGTAAGTTACACAGTGCAGCAATGGCACAGGCAAGAAGTGATAATGTTGAATGACAAATACATAGTATCAGTTTTTACTCTTTCTTTTTAAGCAAAACGGGTACTGTCCCATTTTATAAGTGTTCTGGGCTCAGTTATGCTCCCCTCGAAATTTGTATGAGGCGTCCCTGAGCCCCCCAAGCATTTCAGAAGGGGACAGTGTTTGGAGATAGAGCCTCCAAAGACATGATTAGGTTAGAATTAGCCATCCGGGCGCGGTCCTGACCCAATCTGACCGCTGTCCTTATACGGAGAGGAAATTTACACACATGGGCGTTCAGGATCTGTGCACACAGGGGAAAACCACGTGAGGATGCACGAGGGAGGCGGCTGCCTACACAGCCAGGAGGGAGACGGCAGGGGAAACCAACCAGCTGACTCCTCTGGACTGTGAGGAAATCAGTGGCCACTGTGGAAGCCGCCCTGTCTGCAGCATTTGGTGCTGTAGCAAATTAATATGGTGAAAAATATCAACATACGTTAACTGCCAGCCTCAGGAGGTCCCATGGCTCTGCCCCAGCTCTTATTTGGGGCACATTCCACAGGGACCCCAGCCTTCCACGCATTTACCGTTGTCACTGGAATCACCATTGCAATTCCGGTAAATTCACGCCCACTGACATAGCACTATCCTGAATGTTAGAAAGCCTAAAGCCCCTGGATACCTAGGTCTCTCAGGCAGAACCATGTCCCGGAAGCAGGTTGCTTCACAACTGGGTCCGGGACATTGCTTTGGATGCTGAACATCAACGGTGGGGACTTTGGTAACTCCATAGACATGGGAACATTTTGACCTTTGGAGTAAACACCCTGTAAATGTGGCCAAGGCAGAACCGTACAGGCTCCATGTCTGGCCAGAAGCAGTGGTGGGCCCGCGTGGCCATCCCATGAAGTCGTCTGCAGTTCCCAAAGAAGGTGTTTGTCATCACCAGCCACCAGGAAGGAAGGCTCCCCCACATGCCACGCTGGGTGTCAGCCCGGAGCTTCCGGCACAGACGGAGCCCCGGGTCTCCTCTCCCTGAGGCAGGCCACGTGGATCCCTCCACTCAACTTCCCTCCAGCTGTTTCAAGCTCCACCTCCAGTTCCTAGTAACCCCCTCAGATTCTGATAACACCCAGAATCAAGTCTCCGCGCCCACCCCAACCTGATGTTCGCCAAAAAACCACAGGCAGTATTTTAGTCTTTGTTCAAAAAAATACATGACACCTGCCGACAGCTGACCCGTCCCAGACGCCCTGGCTGGCTTGCTGGCCCCCTTAGATGAGTTGATCCCACCATTCACTCTCAAATATTGTCTCTACTGGACTGTGAGGTAGGACCCTCAACCCCAAACTCTACAGAACATTCTTATAGGGGAGATATTCCTGTTGCTGTGAAACATTCTCTCTTTTCATAAGGGAAAAAAAAAGGAATCTTTCATTGGTGCCAAGTGCAGAGGCTAAATAATACCCAGTGTAGGAGGAGACAGGAAGGAAGAGAGGAAGGGAGGGCGAGAGGGAGGGCCTGCGGAGGCTCCAGCTCGAAGTCATCCATTTGTTCTTTGTACCGCCAGGTACTGAAGAGAGCCTTAAGTGACCCACGTTTAAACCCTGCCTCTCCACGTTAGTCTTTCTGCACAAATATCTACCCAACTTGCCCAGCACTCATTGAGCATATTACTATGTAATGAACAGAGTCAGCACTTTCACGTGCTCGAACCCACAAGCTCTAACAGTCCAGCACGGACTGCTGGTGGCACTGACCCTGAGGAATGAGCCGTTTCCTGCAGCCCCACCCTGGCTGGTGGTCCAGGGAGTTTTCTGTCCACACCTGTAAGAGCCACGCCCATCTGGCTCCTTACACTCCCCGATCCCGCCAGAGAATCAATGCCTTGCCTGGGAAGGGGAGCCCCCTGGTCGAAATGCCCGTCTCTTTCTGGCTCGTGCTGGATCCGCGCTGCAAGGCCCACAGACTGACACCCCAACGCACGGCTCCGCGAGGCAGCGGGTCCAACCTCGGGACGCCAAGCCCTCGGAAGGGATTCTGCCTCCCCTGCCTTCTGCCTCCATGAACGTTCAGACACAGGCAAGTCCCATATCTTTTTAAATAGTCCCAACGTTGACTGTTTTGCACAGTGGGCATGCAATAAATGTTTATTGCAATGAATTTTAGATCATTAAGTCACATATTTCATCGCTCAAACGTTAATTTTTAAAAATAGACTTCAGGAATGCTATATTTGACCTGGTTTAAGCCTTTGAGACTGTAAGAAGTTCTCTTTTTTTTTTTTTTAACTGAGTCAGGGAGAAGAAACTTCTTGTGCATAAACAAGGGACGTAAGGGCTTTCTATTTTGTAGGATTAATATTTTAGTGTTGGAAAGGCCCTTTGAGATAATGACCTAATTTATTCCCTCCTAAATCTGGAATTTCAGCTATCTTAAGGAATTCTACCTTATCTTAGATACTGGCTCATGGGTGGGGATAATACAGTGATACTTAAAGGGCACACCCCTCCCCCGACATTATCTGGAAAACCACTTCTTTATTTTCCCTGAGGCTAGCCGGCTTCTGGTCTTTCAAACTAGAAACTGCCGTGCAAGGACGGGAAGAATGCCGGCCTGCCAGCGAGAGCAGGACGGGCTGGTGTCAGTCGGATGAGAGGGGCTTACTCAGTGCCACTTTCCACCATCTGCGTGAGGAGGAAGATGCCGTCCAGGTTGATAAACTCCTGGGCGAAGGTGACATCCCGGGACAGGCTGGCCAGGTCCTTCAGGGCTTCCAGCTTGGAGTCCATGCTGGACGACTGGATTCGTTCATGGATCTGCTGGGCATTCTGGGCCTGACCGAGGCAAAAACAGAGGAAACCACAACAAAAAAAAAATTAATGTCTCATTCACGAAGAAACGAAGACACAGAGCCCCAAGGCCCAAGACGACCTGTATCCAACGTCCAGGGCGGGTCTCCAGCCTGAGCGACTCCCCCTTCAGGTCACATCTGTTCATTCCACCCTGGGAATAGACCGGGTGCTGACTTTTGACTGGGCCCAGGTTTCCATCTCTCAGCAAAGAGCTTTCCACAGAAACAGAACCGGCGCAGCAGTGAGGAATGGAAACTGGGGAACGTGTTTACCTTTTAAGTTAAATTTTTATCTACACATGACAGAAAGCTTTTGGCTTCGTTAAGCAATTACACAAATTTCTACAGCGTGTCACCAGGTCCATCAATATTCTGAGTGACAACTGCCTACACACAGAGCTCAAAAGTGTCATTAGACACTCAACACTCGTTCCGGATTACTGACGATCTTCCGGCACAATGCAATGATGCTTGTACATTTCACTTTCTGACATGTGTTTCCCATACATTCTTACTTACTGTACGAATTTATAACAAAACAATTAGGTAACCAAATTAGTCGCTTTGCCTAGAACTCGGCTTCTTTTTGGGGCGTCGGCAGTTGGCTTGCACAGGCAGGATAGGAGGGGACGGAAATATATTGGACGGGCCGAACTTCTGGGTAATAGCTTGTCATCTATGTGTCTCTGTTACCCAGGAAAGGTTTTCATCTCTGCCTTTCAGTCAGGACAAGTGGCAAGAAAAAAAAAATTTTTAAGTATTCCTGCCTGGGGTTTTGTTGTTTTTTTCTTTTCTTTTCTTTTCTTTTTTTTTTTTTTTGCACTTAATAGAAATAACTCCACATCTGTTGCAGTTATTCTTTGACTGCCATGGTGGAAGCACTCGTCCATCCTCACATTCCCCGTCACAGGTACTTGCTCTCTCCTTTGACAGGACACTGTATTTCAGAGTCAGGAGAAGATGGGTGTTTGAGCCCAACAATGAGGTGCTTCTCCTGAAGAGAAATTGACTAGAACCATCTGAGGGGCCCCATACGACCTGTAACTGAGTGAAGAGTGCTCAGTGGAGACAGGGATTCTGCACAGGCCCCGGGAGCAAAGGGGCTCCACCCCAACGGGCTCGGCAGCCACAGCCCCTCCCTCCATGGCTGGCTCCCCGGTCACTGTCCCCCCGATGTAGCCCCGCAGGCAGAGTGGGATTCAACAGGAAAGCCAAGGCAGTTCTTTAGGGACCAAGGCAGGTGAACCACATACCCCTGTCACTTGCCTTATAAGATATAGACTGTCATCTCCTAGGTATTATAACCAAAAACTGACACTGTGTGTCAGAAATTAGAAAAGGAGAAGAAAGGAAGAGAAAGAGAACCCTCCGTACTCATTCACTGATCCTCAGTCACCTGACAAATCGCTCACACCCTAACCCTGTATTTTAAAGAGGCATAAAAGAGAGCTGAACAAGAATCACTTTATCTTTTTAAATTTTTCAAGGACATATTATTCTCTAAAACTATCAAATGGATATACGTTATTAGCATTAACATATAATGTTTAACCCAAGTGAATCACTTTAAATTCCTAGAAAACCACATTTTTCTTCAAGCAGGAAGTCTGCATAGACTAGAGTCCTTATGATAACAATCAGTACTCAAAAATGATTCACTGTCGTTATCAGCATTAACTAACATTGTTTGGTGCTGTTAACATCAATGCTAAAAACCGCTCACAGTCACCTAGCGCTCTTTCTGAGCCATTACTATAAATACCTTTATGAAGGAATTCATTTAATCTGCTGTATAGTCATTCCTAGCACGCAGGTGCCTTCCTCACCATTTTAGAAAGGCAACTGAAGTTCAGAGAAGTCAAGTCACTTGCCCAATGTCACACAGCCGGTCCGTCGTAGAGCTAAGGTAGAACCTGGGCAGCTGGACTCAGGACAACAGGCTCGAAAGCAGTGGGTCTCCAACTGCTGTGTGATTGGAGCCACCGTGGTGGCTTCTTAACACACAGAGCCCCGGGCCTCACCTAGAGCCTTGGGTCCTGAGGGCCCAAGGCGGGGCGCCCGGGGCTGTATGTGTAGCAAGCTCCCGGCGCTGCTGCCGGCCCCAGGATCCCATGTGGAGAACCACGGCTCTACACAGTACGGCCCCCATCTCTCGCTCACGACGGGACGCACAGCCCAGCCCCACGGGGCCCACGGCGCTGCTTCTGTCTTCTGATTACCACGGGTCTTCAGCGGCGGCACAGCCACCCCCGCCCGGCTGACTGCACGGAAACGCAATCTCCCTGCCTCCTCAAAAGTGTCTACATCTCCCGAGAAACGTTTGCTAAGAAAATCAAAAGGGCACGTTACTAATGGTGGGGTCTAGGTAGGTGCAGTTTATTGTACCATTCTTCCCACGTCTGTGTTTGAAATGCCACCTGTTTAAACATTAAGAATTTGTTCATTTAAAGCCAGAGGAGAGCCCAGAGACAACAGACACCTGAAAAGGACAAGCACTGCAAGGAGAGGAATGCAGACTGAAGTCCCAAACTGCAGGGCTACTAACAGTAGCGGCTCTGGAACCCAGAAGCATGTCACCGCGACAGTCGCACACCACAGCAGCACCCTGACATGCTGGGGTCTCAGCCAGAGTCACCCCCAACGGCGGGGAAAAAGGGCCATCCAAACTGTGGCCCCCTGCGGCGGGCAGTGTCCAGGTGCAATGGCCTGCGAGTTCCTGTGGGACCATCCGCCCTCTCCGCCACTCGGCCCAGCGTCTGGGAACCACGTGCCCTGTCTGCCTGGCGGCGTCCTTTTTAAAAAAATATTTGAATTTATTTTTTATTTACAGTTACCATACAATGTTATATTAGTGTCAGGTGTACGGCATGGCAATTATACATTTATATGCCCTATGACGTGAACCCAGCAATTCCACTTCTGGATATTTATCTGAAGAAATCCGAAACACTAAATCAAACAGACATGTCCCTACGATCACCGCAGCGGAATTTACAACCGCCAAGATGCGGCAGCGGCACAAGTGCCCATCGATAGATGAGTGGATACAGAAGATGTGGTACATGTCCGCAACGTCCAAGGATGAAAGCCTGCCATTTGCGACAACGTGGACAGGCCCAGAGGGTGCCACGCTGGGTGAGAGACGTGGCGTTCTCCTTCCAGGCAGGTGTGACTCTTCCCTCTCCCTGGGTGCCATACAGCACAGAGTGGACTCTTCATAAAAATGCACAGTTCCCCCAGCGTTTGCTGGTGGGTGAGTTTTCCCCTCGGCTTTGAGACACGAGTAAACCCCGGAGCGGGGGCATCATTAGTGAGATAGGACAACCGCGACAAGCCGCTGAGCAGCGCGGACGGCTCCCCGAAGGCGAAGGCGGAGCGAGAGCGCCGAGAACACACAGAGCCCCGGTTACAGATCGGCGCCTCGCTGACCTCCTCCTGACCCCGCCTGGCCTCATCTTCCCCACTGGCCCACGGAGGAGCTGTGAGGAGGTCACGTGGGAGGCGCCCTCCAACCCGCAGAGTCGCGGGCTGTTTCTCAGGTGGCCGGGAACCCTCACCACAGAGTCTTTCAGGAGCAGGTGCCAAATCGGAGTCAGTCCCCGACGTGAGCCCCAGTCAAAACATTACATCCAACTTCTGGGAACATTTTTAAGGCAGCATTTCTCTGGTTGGAACCAGAAATGTTTTCCTTTTTACCTTCTCTCATTTCTAAATAATCTGGATATGAAACTCTTATTATAAAAATTAATGTGGGAATAAAAGTTTTATTATGAAAAGAGCGGGTGTTTGTCAGGAAAATGTACTTTTTCGGCATCAGTTATGGCCAAAAATGACGCTGCGGAGAACTTCCCTTGGGCTCCAGTCCGACAAGTCTAGGGTGTTCCATTTCCAAGCTGTGCCCCTCCGGAGTCAAAGACAGAGTCCTCCCTCCTGACGGAAGAACCTCTCTGGAAAGCGTGCCCGGGGCGAGGCGCTGTTCCGCGCCGGCGGGACAGAGCCAAGGCAGCCCTGCGGCTCACCGTCCTGGGGCCACGTCCTCCCCGTGCGGGTCGGCAACAGAACAAGTCACCTCTGAGAACATAAACACGGAGGAGATTTATAGCAAAACCCAAACGTGGGGATGCAACAGAGAGCGGCTGGTGGCTTTTCAAGACAGGGCGGTTTTCAGGGACGAGCAGCCTGATGAAGTGACATTTCAGCCCCGAGCTGATGGGCAAGAAGAAGCCTGCCACACTGGGGAGGAAGTTGGATTTCTTTCTTTCCTTGGTTTTTTTTTTTTTTGGGGGGGGGGGCGGGATTTACTTTTTATTTGTACGTTTACCAGTATATATTTTTACTTTTCAGTTACAGGTGACGTCCCATATTATTTTGCATTCATTTCAGATGTGCACTACAGTGGTTAGACATTTCTGTAACTTACAAAGCGATTCCCCCGGTAAGTCCAGTGCCCACCTGGCTCCACACGCCGTTGTTACAATATAATTGACTGTATTCCCTACGCTGTACTTTCCATCCCCAGCCTACATTGTTACTGCCAATTTGCATCTCTTTTTCACCCAGCCCCCGACCCCCTCCCCTCTGGCGACCCATGTCTTCGAGTCTGTTTCAATTTTGTTTCTTCCGTTCTTTAGATTCCACAGAAAGTGAACGGATTTCTGGGCAGAGGGGAGGGTTAGTACAAAGGAGTAACAAGAGGAATGAGCCGGGCATAGTCAGGGGGAAGGAGAAGCCGATGCCCGTGCTGGGTGGGCACGGGGGCGGGGGGAGCAGGCGAGGCCGAGAGGCGGCCAGGGCCGGCGGCCGACGGTGTTCGTGAGTGGCCCGCAGGAGCCCTGGCGGGCGATGCACTTCCGTGACTGAAAGGGCACATTTAACTATCGGAGACAGATGTGTGGCACCTTTGGAGCGCTTAAAATAGCATTTGGATTCAAACCCTAGAAGCAGCTGCAGTGTTCAACAGCAAGACAACGGTTAAATAACTCA